GAGAGTGTTTTATGTATGCTTTCAGATGCTAAGCTGTCAGATTCCTTTTGGCAGAAGCACTTAATACTGCTGCTTATGTTATCAATTTATCTCCTGCTGTTGCTTTAGATGGTGATGTCCCTGACAGAGTTTGGACTGGTAAGAATGTTTCTTATGATCATCTTAGAGTCTTTGGGTGTAAAGTCTTTGTACATGTTGCTAAGTATGAAAGGTCAAAGTTGGATGTTAAAACTAGGCAGTGTATCTTCATTGGTTATGGTCAAGATGAATTTGGCTATCATTTCTATGATCCTGTTGAGAAGAAACTTGTTAGAAGCCGTGATGTTGTGTTATTTGAAGACAAAACAATTGAAGATTTTGATAAAGCTGACAAGGCTGATTTTCAGAGTAGTGAGAGCTTAGTTGATGTTGATCCAGTTCCTTTGACTATTGCACCGGAAGAAAATATTCATAAAGATGAAAATCAAGTTGATAATGAAGATGGTGATCATGTTCAGAATGACCGCCATGATGTTGTTGATGCTCCAATGCAAGATGATGTGGTTGTCCAACAACCAATTAGTGATGCTCCAGAGAGTTCTCTCAGACGATCTAGTAGAGAGAATTCCTTTATCTCGTTATTCTCCCAATGAGCATGTACTCTTGACTGACGGGGGAGAACCTGAGAGTCTTGATGAGGCCATGAAAAGTGAAGAAAAAGAAAGGTGGTTTGATGATATGGAATATGACATTAATTCCTTGCATGATATTCATACCTTTGATTTGGTTAAGTTACCTAAAGACAGAAAAGCTTTGAAAAACAGGTGGGTTTTTCGGGTGAAACAGAAGATGGTAATCCAGTTCCACGGTACAAAGCTAGATTAGTTGTCAAGGGATATAATCAGAAAAGGGGAGTTGATTTTGATGAGATATTCTCTCCAGTTGTGAAGATGTCATCCATTTGTGTGGTTCTAGGCTTGGCTGCAAGTCTAGATTTAAAGGTTGAGCAAATGGATGTTAAAACTGCTTTCCTCCATGGTGACTTAGATGAAGAAATTTATATGGAGCAACCGGAAGGTTTTGAAGTCAAGGGTAAAGAGAATGATGTTTGCAAATTGAAGAAGAGCTTGTATGGTTTGAAACAAGCTCCCAGGCAGTGGTACAGGAAGTTTGGTTCTTTTATGAGTCAGCAAGGCTTCAAAAAGACTTCTTTAGACCATTGTGTTTTTGTGCAAAAGTTCTCTGACGGTGACTTTATTATTGTGTTGCTTTATGTTGATGACATGCTTGTTGTTTGTCATAATAGTTGCAGGATTCAGAAGTTAAAGCAAGAGTTGAGTAAGTCTTTTGCTATGAAAGACTTAGGACCAGCAAGGCAGATTCTTGGCATGCAGATTGTCCGTGATAGAAAGGCCAAGAAATTGGTATTATCACAAGAGAAGTACATTCAGAAAGTACTTTGCATATTCATCATGGACAAAGCTAAGGTTGTCAGTACACCTTTAGCTATGCACTTCAAATTGAGCACGAAACAGTGTCCTTCTAGCGATGATGAAAAGGAAGATATGAAGAAAGTTCCTTATGCTTCAGCTGTTGGTAGTTTGATGTATGCGATGGTTTTTACAAGACCGGATATTGCTCACGTTGTTGGAGTTGTTAGCCGTTTTCTTTCTAATCCGGGAAGAGAACATTGGAATGTTGTGAAATGGGTTATGAGATATCTTTGTGGCACTTCTAGTCTGAGTTTGTGTTTTTGTACAGGGAAGCCTATTCTTTGTGGTTATACTGATTCAGACATGGCTAGTGATGTTGATACTCGCAAGTCTACTTCAGGGTACTTGGTTACTTTTGCAGGGGGAGCTGTGTCTTGGCAATATAGGTTGTAAAAATGTGTTGCTCTATCTACTACAGAAGTTGAGCTTATTGCTATCGTTGAAACTTGTAAAGAATTGCTTTGGATGAAGAGATTCTTGGGGGAACTTGGTTGTGCTTAAGAGAGGTATGTGCTTTATTGTGATAGTCAAAGTGCTATACATCTTGGCAAGAATTCTACGTTCCATGGTCGGTCTAAACACATTGATGTGAGATAGCATTGGATTTGAGATGTGTTGGATTCTAAATTTCTTGAGCTTGAAAAGATTCATACAAATGACAATGGTTTCGATATGATGACTAAAGCTTTGCCAAGAGGGAAGTTTGAAGATTGTTACATGGTCGCCGGGATGGCGATCTCCTCCAAATAGTTGTGAGGGGGAGAATTGTTGGGTTATGGGCCTTTTTCCCTTCCTATGTGGATAAATAAAAGCCCAATTTGGACCAACCCATTTTTTCCCATAGGACCATTCTTATGAGGCAAATATAAGCCTATTTAGGTCTTATTTTCATACACACAGAGAGTTTTTTCAGCAGCCAAAAAGAGAGAAAGAGAGCAGTTTTCGCAGTCAAAATTCAGCCCTAACAGCCAACTTCAAATTGCAATTCCCGCTTCTTTTCTTGTCCGATTGAGCTGATTTTTGGACAACATATTATATTCATCTCAATATTTGATTAGGAACTGACAGAGTTTGATTTGGTGGCCTGCAGCTTCAGTTTTGTTGTCGTGAACAGTAGCTGCGAAATTGGTGATTTTGCTCCTTTAATTCTCTATATTTGGTGCAATCTTATTTTGTTGTTGCTCGTTGTTTGGCACTTGTTTTGTGGCCAATTTTTGGAGAAAAATATTGTAACTCTTGGTGATTATAGTGGAGCTTTTGGTCCCGTAGTTTTTTACTCTTCACATCGAAGGGTTTTCCACGTAAATCTTGATTGAAGGCTATTATAGAAGTTATGTGTGGTCTAATTCAAATGAGATAACGAATAAGTCATTAATAGCATGGTCTAGAATATGTCTACCTAAGGCATCTAGACGGCTCAATCTAATTAATCTAGCTGTATGGAACAAAGATGCTATTGCCAAGACATGTTGGGACCTCTCTGATAAGCGGGATAAATCAGGTGGATTCATGCATATTATATAAAAGGCCATGAGCTACATACTATGAATATTTCAACTCAGGCTTGTTGGATGGTGAAAATGATTCTTGCTGGCAGGGGAACACTTGTGCAGGTTCACACTGAGATCAAGCCTGGACATAGTGTGATCAGGCAAATATATTTGCTGCTTCTTGGGGTGACATCGAAGATGGCTTAGAAATGTCTTATGTTTCAGAAGAAAGCAAGGCTGAAAGCTGTGCTTACTATGTGGCTACATCTTTATGGAAGATTTCTAGCAGCTGACAGCTTACTTAAATGGGGTAGGGTAGTGGAACCTATTTGTGTTTTGTGTAGTGAAAGGGACGAAATAAAGGAACATTTGCTTTTCAGTTGTCATTATACGATTCAAATCTGGACTAGAATCTTTACTTAGCGAGAATGGAATGGACAAAGTTGGAGAAGCTGGGATCAACATATTGAATGGACTATAGCTCATGCTAAAAGAAAGTCTCAAAAAGCTATTTTATTCAGAATAGTCTTTGCTGAAGTGATACATGCTGTGTGGATAGAGAGAAACTTGAGAATCTTTAAAAAAGATAGAGATTGGGAGGAATTTCCAGAGAAATTGCATATGTTTGTAATGTTAGAAGTCATGTCGGATGTAGCCCCCTTTTGCATAGTTTAGTCTTTTGATCCTTTCTAGTTTAGTGGTCATACTTAGTATGCTTGGACTTTAATTTAGTCGTTTTTGTGTTACTTTTGAGATAACCAACAGGGTGTGTTGTTTGGTTAGGTTATGTAATTGAAGTAACTTGGTGATTAATATAAGGATTAGTTACCAAAAGAAAAAGATATGCTCGAGTCAGGCATCGAGTGTCAGTCCCACATAGGATCTAGACTCGGGGCATGACAACATAAATTCTTTTATGGATCTAGAATCTTAAGTATTATATTTTTTTAACTATTATATATATAATAATTACAATTACTTGATCATCACGTAAAATGTCAAAATAATTTATATTTATAACCTGAACTATATAGCTTAATTAATAAGACATCAAGAAAATATATGTGTGGTTGAGAACGATTGGTGAGAAGAATACTTACAGCATTGACAACTGATTCATAAGCTTCCGTGACAAGATAAACTAAACTTGTACTGGAATCAACTATAGTTCCTCGATCACCTGAGTTTGCAAAAGCTTTTGGATCAATAGGTAAAATTCTTCCATGTACAGAAATGCTCTGCAAATACACATTGTAATGACCCCTACAAGAATTGGAAAAAGAAACAAACTAAATGTCATGACAGAAGAATTATTTTGAAAAAAACAACAATAATTTATAAAACGTTGAATAAAATAATGCTCTTGGAAAATTGCAGTACGTACTTTGATGGAACAAGGGGAGTATAGACCATACTCAGATGCAAAATCTCACCGAGCACTAATATCCCTCCACCGCTTCCCTCTCCTTTTAAACAATGTGAAAATGATTTCGGAGAAATTCCATGTGAAGAAAGTTGAGATATTATTGATAGTCTCTGTTGACCAAATCCGAGAATTCCATCAACTACTTTATCTGTCAAGATCAGGTCTCCTAATTGAGAGGTACTGCACCTGTTTTGATTTTACACTATTAAATCACCTAACGATATATTTAAGGTATAAGCCTCTTATTATGACATTCATAATTAAAAAATTAAATTGGTTACCTATTATGCTATTACTATAGATAATGGTTATCTCATGGTATAAATTATTATTTTGACAAAATTTACTCACACAAATATAGTTACACAACTTCAGCTCTAAATTATTATGAATCACACATTAAAGGTCTAAATTATTAACATAATTGTTTTATATAAGAATGAATCAATATAAATGATATTTTCTTTACTTACATTTTTTATTGATTGTTAAGTAATTAGCAATTTAGTACATTGTTAATGATATTACTTTAAATTTAATTGGAATAATAATAACTATTTTGCTATTAGATATATAACTAGTAATGCCATACTTTGTGATTTGTAATATTCAACCCAAAAAGATATCATATCCGTGACTTTTTTTATGGGATCAAACTTTAACTATATTGAACTTCAAGTAATTTTTGATAAATATTTTGAACATCTCCATAGATAAATAAATCAATTAAATGTAATGATTCTATTCATAATATTTTCAAGTAAATAATAAAAAAATACCACTAACTAAATTTACGACAATTTTTTTATAATACTTTCATGTAAGAAAATCATCAGCTAATAGAAAATCCCCAAGTATATCATCACAAAAAAAAATTCTACAATTTGTTGCGCAATAATAAAATACTCAATAAATTCCCTGACATAAAATTCGGGGTAAACTCCTATACAATAAATTCGTAGCTAAATTTTTAGAATTAAGATCCAAAGTAATTTCTCACCTGAATTTTTTTAGGTAACTATTTCTAGCTAAATTCGCAAATAGCTTAATTTAGGTATTTCACTGCAAAATAATGAAAGATCAATTTTATTTTCAATGAAGTCACCTATGAAAATGATACCTAAATTAATTTTCATAGCTATTTTGTTATATAATATTTTTGTGCGAAAATGGCATAAAACATATTTATGAATTTTCCTAATAAACAGTTTTTGCATATAAAATAATTTAAAATTTATAGATTTTAGGTAGTTGCATGAAAATCTGTATATTTTTTTGGGGAAATAATTCTCAAATAAAATATTCATATAATACACACTTTTCTACTTGATCAAATTTATTTGTTAGCCATTTGTATAATTAGTCTAATTTTTTGTTTGGAGAGATTGAATGTTGATAGACTCGTCTTCCCTCTTCTTAAAGGATAACAATTGTATTCTTGTATTCTTATTGGAGTTTGATTCTATACTTTCTTTCTGAATTATAATACTCTAGAATATGTGAATAATCATATAAAAGAATACTCACCCGAAAATAATGGATGTTGAAGACTTGGAAATCAACGAGGTCCTCATAATTTTGTCAAAGTAAAACAAATCTAATACAAAATAGCCTGATGTGCCACTATTATCTGTGTAATGCAAGGAGTAAGCACATTGATTTGTTTCGCTGCACTCATCTGAAGTGCATACGAATGCTGAACATGTTGGATTTTATTTGCCCTGATTTCTTACCATAAATAGGTCTTCCTTTTAGGAAAAGGTTTTGGATTGACTAATCCTTTTTCTGGCAGGAAAAGGTTTAGGACTCTATAAATAGAGGCATGTTCCTTCTAACTTAATCAGCATTCACAATGTAGTCTTAAAAGGCTTTGAGAGTTTTGGTTAGAGGGAGAATTTGTGGGTCACAAGCTTGATATGTTATCACTTGTGTGAACCTCCCATGTATTCTGAGTGAATTGGTTGAGGTTGTTTCTCTCTGTATTTTGTACTCTCATATTTATAGTGGATTGCTCATCTCCTTTGTGGACGTAGGTCGATTGACCGAACCACGTTAAATCTTTGTGTCTTTTGGTATATTTCTCGTTGTCTTCTTACTCGTGGTCTTTCGAGGTTTGCTCTGCTAGCTTCCGCATTGACACCTGCTTATTTTCGGTCCTAACAAGTGGTATCAGAGCCAGATTTAATGATGGAGTAAGGTTCAGTGGTTCGATAATCGATGATTGAACCAGGTTAGAAAGAGGTGTTCATCTTGGCGGGTGTAGTTCTAGCCGTAACTTTTTTGACAGTAATGAAGATTTTGTTGGAGAAATTGTTTCAGAGAGGTTCTCTGTGTTGAGACATAAATTTTGCAAAGGAGATTATGGAGAGGAGAAGCAAGTTGTTGAAGATTAAGTAAAGAAGGTGGACAAATTTATTTTGTCAGAAATTCAGGCCAAGGGGGAGATTTGTTGGGTTTTATTTGCTCTGATTTCTTACCATAAATAGGTTTTCCTTTTAGGAAAAGGTTTTGGATTGACTAATCCTTTTTCTGGTAGGAAAAGGTTTAGGACTCTATAAATAGAGGCATGTTCCTTCTAACTTAATCAGTATTCACAATGTAGTCTTAAAGGGCTTTGAGAGTTTTGGTTAAAGGGAGAATTTGTGGGTCACAAGTTTGATACGTTATCACTTGTGTGAACCTCCCATGTATTCTGAGTGAATTGGTTGAGGTTGTTTTTCTTTGTATTTTGTACTCTCATATTTATAGTGGATTGCTCATCTCCTTTGTGGACGTAGGTCGATTGACCGAACCACGTTAAATCTTTGTGTCTTTTGGTATATTTCTCGTTGTCTTCTTACTCGTGGTCTTTCGAGGTTTGCTCTGCTAGCTTCCGCATTGACACTTGCTTATTTTCGGTCCTAACAGAACATGAGATGACAGACAATGTTGATGAATTGTCCGTGTCATAAAAGTTCATCTCAACCTGTAATAATATAATTGTGTTAGAAGTTCATCTAAATCTACAACAATATAATTATGTTCAAAAAAACACTAAAAGAACAAGTTTCTATGTCATAATTGTTGACACTCAATTTTGACTATTTGAATTTCTAAAACAGATGATGATGATTTGTTATATTCCTACTGGTAGTACAACTTTTGGACTTTTTCTTCTTCTTTTTTAAAGTAATTATTATTATTATATAATCTGACTAAACAATATTCTATTCTAGTCAAATAAGAAGCCAAATATCACAAGAGAGAAAAGAACAAGGTCCAACACTTACAGCTCAGTTAGTTTCAACCAAATGAAACCTATTCTTGGCCAAAATGACCCCAAATATTGAAGGAATAATTATGCAAATTAGCAAACATTAAGACTGCATTATTTAATAAAGCTATAGTTTCACATAATTATGAGTTGCAGCTATATTTTAATGAAATTTTCTCTTAATTTCGGAACCCACCAAAGAAACTCATATCAGGAATGTGATTTGTATACCTTTTATATAAAACATAATTTATCTATTCTCTTTTACTCAACTAATTTTCTCCTAAAATCTCTCATCCATATCAAAATTGAATTTTGAATTCTCTCATTCTCCCTCTTAACTCAATTCCAGGTACAGGCTCAAACGTGTTTCAACCAACTTTTTTCAATTTGTATATGTTTTTATAGTTCATCCAATCATTCATTATAACATGTCATTTTAAACATGTATAAATAACATATTTTAACATTTACATATATTTTGTATATATGTACAAAAGAACATATTTTAATATATATATATATATATATATATATATATTGTATATATTTCGTGCAATAGAGTTCTCTTAAGACACCTGAAGATTCGTGCATTATTCTAACTTCTCCGACTATGCCTCATCTTCGAGGTACCTAGAATAGTTAAGTTCTTATTCCTACCAATATGGACCCTGAGATGGAGCTAATAGAATGTCAAGAGACTGCACAACTGCTCGAGAAGATCCCATTAGTGCACTTTACTCCAATTGATTCAAAAAGATGCACTCTTGTTCGTGTTCACCTAAATTGTGTTTAGCAAATAATATGATATACTATCAAACCCCTTCTTGAACCTTTATATAGATGATACCTTTAAGGGCAAAGTATGCTCTAGAGCGCTTGGGTAGTGTTGTCACTCAAAAGATAGTGTGATCTTTATGACCCATTAATAGTAGAATTGCCCGAATTATAAGTTTTGAGTTGGAAATCTAATAATCCTAAAGAATGGTGATAGTGATGGAATAAAGTATGTAGTTTCAGTCATGTTCCAGTAAGTTAATAGAACACTAGTAGGCCCTCATATGTTGACTAAAGTGTAATCAATTTGTGGAGATTTCATGTTACTAGCACATAGAGAGTTATTGATTAGGTGACTTGAAGTATGCTATCTTGGCAGTATAGATCAGGTCTAGGTGGTGGATGAAAAATAAATGTGTGTAGGATTTTACATTAATAGACTTGTAATAAGAGTGGTGAGGCAACTAGAAAGTATATGTGCTCCCTTTGTGAGGTAGTAAGTGATGGAAAAATATTTAGGAATATGAGGACTCTAAGCCTTAGGGTGAGAGATGTGCACCCAAGATAGTATAGTATACAGTCGTGTGAAGCTCTAAGCTCATAATTTGCTATGTGTTATTGTCTGTATCCTTGAGTAAAATCAACATAGGCTAGTTTAGATAATTATATGAAATAAGTCAACAAACATAAAAGGTCAGCTTTAGATCTCAGAGCGAGATGATAGGTGATGTATTTAGAAAGAGTAGCAGTTCGTTCATACATTTATGCTCATTTCCTAGAATAAGAGGCCTGGATTCAACTCATGAACGACCTTAATCTTACTCTATGAAGTGGTGAATGTCAGTCTTACGATATACAACTCATAATGTATGCACTCATGTTTCTGAATATGCTTAGTCCCATGAACTAATGATATACCTTCAATTTCTAGTGTTAATGCTACGGAATGCATATTATTAGATCTAACTTCTTGAATGATTCGTGCTTATGATCTTTTCTCTCAAAGATCTTCTAGTAGTCCTACTTCAGTTTTGATAGAGTTGTTGATAGAAGTTGAATGTTGGTTTAGATGAGAGGGTAGATGCTCTTTATGGTGAAGATCACAGTATGTTTATTCCACGTGTGAAAAAGATTGAAATGACGATTGGTTATATGTAGTAGCTAGATCAAAATATTTTGTGTGTTCCCTTATTAATAATACCTGAATTTCTAGTTGGTTGAGATGATAGGAAGATGGATATTTCTTAGAAGAATTGATTACTTAGAAGTTCATGGAGTGTTTATAATACTAGGCTTGAATAGGGTGTTGATATACATGTAAATGACATAATTAAAACTCGAGGTTTGTTGAGTGAATTTGTAAGAAAAAGTCGTATTCTTGAGATGAAAATCCCTACAGAGTTGTAGATCGTGAATACAATGATTTAGATTAATATGATCACCTTATGTGGTTCACCTTGTGACTCCAAGTTAGGCTTGAACACATTAAGAGCATGCAGTTAGACTATGACCTTCAGACCTTCATAGGAGCAGACATATGTACCATTGGAGGAGCTATAGGTAGTAGCTTATGAAGTGTAGGGTTCACAAGAAGGAGCGTAGTAAGAAGTTTTGCTAAGCTTAAAAGCTATTAGTCATATCACTTAAGGCATAGTAGTTCAATTCTTTTTACATGCCCAAGATATCCCTATTTCATGTCAAATAGTTTGAGGTAGAGTATGAACAATGTCTTAATCTATATCATTCATGTTTAATGGACCCAGGCCAGATAGCTAAGACTCTTAAGATTTGTGAGTTCTTTATGTTCGAATATGAGACACAAATCGTGACCGTATTTCTTTCTCAAGAAGGTTATGAGAAACTTTTATGAGAACATTTGATGTGAGCCTTATTTCTATTGTGATTTCTAGAAACTTCATGTCATGACCCGTAATCTGGGAATCTTACGTGAACGTTCATGAGAAGCATACCCTAGTTGAGTTTCCACCTCTCAATACAAACCACTTCTATCTTTGTTAATGGGAAGTTCAAAAGTCACAAAGGTAGTAGAAGTAGCTCATTTCTCTTTTATTGCAACTTGACCATCATTCGAGGATGAATGATTTCAAGTGGGATATATTGTCATACCCTGAAATTTGTAAACTAAGATCAAATTGTTTTTCATATGTGTATAAGGTCATACAGAGTGATTATTAATTGTGCATAGGTGTTAAGGTCAATTCTTTAGTATTTTAATTGATTTGGAGATATTTTAAGGTCATAAGAATCCACTAAGACAAAGTTGAGTTCTAAGTTCCCATACCAATTGAGTTTCGATGTAAGATTTTACAAAGGTCAACTTCAAGTGATCATATCTCTTAGAATACTAAGAGTTAGGTGGCCCATAACTTAATCAAACTAAATATATTTGAGTCTTCTTTCCAAATCCACCAAATTTGCATCAAACAGAATTTGAAGTAAAGAGTTATCATCAATTTACAAACCTGATGGAGTGTAGTGACGTTTAGGCCGCTTGGAAGATATTAATAATAGTCATTTTTGTCATTTTACCTCTAGGAATATCCTAAACAAACTTCTTAACTTTTAAATGGCCTTAAAAATCAGATTTTCATCTTTTTATTCTTCCTACTCCTGTTTCTTGAACTTAAAAGACAAAATCCTAAGGAAAATCAAAGCATAGAACTTTTAACAAGATTCTATTTCAAGGTAAGTCCATCTCCAATGATTTCATTCTTCCCAATTTGAATTCAACATACATACATGAATCGTAAATAGAAATCTTAATTCTTGGTTATAGGATTTTAAAGAAATTTATTCAAGAATTTCAAGTAAAATTTTCTTGACGTTATTCTTCAAGTTAGGGTTCTTCGGCTAGATTCAGCGTGATTTTAAGGTGTGTAGAGCTGTGATAGTGAGGAACTTAGTTCTTGCTCACACCCTACATCTACAATTTTAGTTAATACGATCAAAGTTAAGGTTTCTGACCCCCAACCCCCAATACAACCCCAAGGATCATGATTTTTGATTTATCTCTATTTTTTATCTTTGATTCTGGATTTTTTTTATCACAATTATTGTACTCCATATTTTGTTGATGATTCTTGATTGTTGGTTCATTCTTATAATACCACATGCACCCTTTCTAATCAAAGTTATTTAAAAATCTTGTCGTGGTATTTCATATTCATTATTTTCAAGAATAAAGTATGTTCAAAATTTTAAAAAAGTATTTCAAGAAAGTGTTATTATCTTTGATTTATAGTGCATGATTTAAGAAGAGTTTAGAGAAAGTATATTTTACTTCAAGTGCTTTATTTTCAAGAAAGTATTATTATCTTTAATGTAAAGTGCTTGATTTTAGAAGAGCTCCAATACGATATATTTTTAACTTCATGTGCATTATTTTAAAAGAGTTTTGAAAGTATATTTTTACATCAAGAAAGCGGAGAAGTTTTTAAGAAGCATGTCAGCCTAATAAAGTGAAATCCAATTACCCCTCGAAGAGGGTTTTTTAAGTATTAACTCACCCTAGAGAATATACTTTTTATAAATGAGCATATAAAGTTAAAATTTTGAGAGTAGCGTTGAGCCTCAATTTTGGGTAACAGTTAAGATAACTCAAACTCCATAAACTACGTAGCTAACAAAGGACAGGATCGTACCATCATTCGGTAACTCCATACTGCCTCTAAGAAGTCCTATTAGATGTATCCATAAGTTAATATATTGTTCTATACTTAGACGGGGTTTAGAATGGCTCTGGAAATGTAGGTAAGATGTATCATTACGAGGCTCGCTTTATGTTAGGTTACTTTTAATTTGTCGGTTAGATAAACTCCCTAATAAAGTAAAGTATATCTATTTATATATTTTAGTTCAGTATTATCAATTGTTGCATCTTAGATTATAAAACTTAAATGATTTTACTTCATGAACGCTCCACTTTATGTCAGGTTACTTTCAGTTTCGTTCCAGTTTGTTTATTTACTTCAGTTATTTGCTTCATTCATCTTTATTGTAATATTACATATTGTACATTCAATGTACTGGCTCCATTTGACGCTACATAATTTTATGATGTAGTTTGTATGTACTCTCAACTAGCATATGTTTGGTAAGATCTCTTTCCATCAACAGTCGGTGAGACCACCTCACTTTCGAAGGGCTCCAATTTAGTTAGATCAGTTTATTTGATTTTATAATCATTTTCCGTTGAATAGTCAGGTAGTTTTGAGTTTTGTAACGACGCCTATCTTCAGTTAGTAGAGACTTCATAGATAGATAAAATTAGTGAGCCAGTTACGTCTTCAGTATTCATATGATTTAAACATTTTATTATCATATTTTTATATAAAAGAGAACCCTAGGCCCACCTACGTGGTGTGGTGCCTTGACAAACTAGAATTTCCTTCTAAATTATTTATTGACAAAAATAGCCTTCTCTTTTCTTGAAAATATGTGACTTTTATGAAAAATTGTGACTTTTGTAAAGAGTTACGTCTTTTATAAATACTTACTCAAAAAATAGTCATCTTCTTTCATGAAATGATGTGACGTTTATGAAAAGTTGTGACTTTTATGAATAGTTGCGACTTTAATGAATAGTTGTAACTTTTATGAAAAGTTGTGACTTTCATAAAAAGTTGCGACTTTAAAGAAGAGTTGCGACTTTCATGAAAAGTTGTGACTTTTATGAAAGATTGTGACCTTTCTAAAGGGTTGTAACTTTTTCAAAGTCATAACATTTCCAATAAGGCACAATAAATATTTGTTTACACTACCATTTGTTTCAATAAATAGAGGTGTTTCCTCTAATTTTAAAACAATGAAAATTTTGAACCTCTTTTTCTTTTCTTTTTTCTTCTTCGTCACAATTCTATATTTGTGTACACTGCTCAATTAAGGTTAAATGATAAGATGTAATAATTTTCATTTTCCTTTACATTATTAA